CTCGTCGAGCTTTGCAGAATAGAGAATCTTGTTTTGGGCCATCTCTGTTTCTCTTGCAATAGCTTCAGTTTGAGTTGGAGCGTTCAATCTTGGAGCGATTGCATTGAAGTCGATCGACTTTCCATCTTGAATTGATTTCACCATGTCTTCTGAACATTTCATTCCAGAAGCTTGGATGTAGTCAATCACTCTTTCCTCGGCATCTTCGTACGACGATCTTGCCTTTCCATCGCTTTCATCTTTCGTTGAAAATAGATGTTTGACAACTGTTGAGCTTGAATTGCTCTTGACTTTCTGAGGAGCCACACATCCTCTTCCACCACCGGATGAAGAATTTCCCATCATCAACAAATCACTCACTCCTTTGTAGCTAAGGCAGTGCTGTTCTTGACGTAAATTTTGTTTTGTTGCCTTTTGTGATTGAATGTTAGAATAAAGCAAAATATGCTCTATCGTGAGTGCCTTTAGCGCTCAGAACAAACTCTCTGCAATCTAAATTTGTAATCGACTGTACGACACTTTCACGACAATAGTTCTCCTGTGTCTAGATATACTTTGAGTGAAATTGTTCCTATTTGATTAATGTTTGGCTTGAATTGATGATTCAATCACAAAAGTAAGTTCAACGATTTTCCCTTGGAAAATCCCTTGTTCACAGAACTTGATTCGACCTCTACGACAATTCTGTGTTGAATGCAGTACTTTGGGACATCTTGTATTATTCCCTACTGCATCGTACACAACATCGATATCACACTTACATAGGGTCATTCCCTTTTTGTCATATCCCAACACTCTGATTGACAAACCGGCTGTGGCAAAAGCAATGTTCCATAATCATGCACGTGGAATTGACAATGCTGGGGTAGACCCACGTTTCTATATTGAAATTGAAAGATACAAAGGAATGGCATTCATCCTTCAGCGTGATTGGATTAATATGGGTGAACCAATGAATGCATATCACGGTTTATGGAAATGGACAAAATTTGCTCAATGGTGTTATGAACAGGCTAAAGACCGACAATGGGATTTCGATGACTTAGATATCTTTGGTAGATTACCTGATACATTTGCTGAAGAAGCAAATTGACGAGGTATTCGAAAAGATTTTCATAAATTGACGGATGGAAGAGGATTTATATTTGATGAAGTTCCTGCTGGAATGGAACTAGATGAAATTCACATAGTACCTAATAATTTAAATGATAATATGGAAGGGTACTGTGTTCTACAGAGTGTGGAGAAGAACAAAGAGCGTTTCACAAACAAACAAGCGAAATGAGCAAATGTTGCACAAAGTGGCTATCATATGATGGGAGCACCTAGTGCAGAACTATTTAAGTTGGCGATTCCGGGAATTTTTTTCAAAAATTGTCCAATTACAGAGGAAGATGTTGACATATCTCTGAAAAGATATATGGACCGAGCGTTTCAACAATTAAGGGGAAACAAAAGCGACCAACACTGAAAACAGTTACACTAGAATTCACTTTAAAAGAACCTGCAAAAATTAAAAACTCACCGATGAAACCACTAGTTCCGGGAAAAACTGAAAGATCGGACAAAAGATGCTATTTACAAGGGTTCTGAGCCCCACGGCCTCCATAATGGCCACTTCAAGGCAGGCGCCCTTTCGGAACTGTTACCTTCCACTCCGTTCAGGCCATGTTCCGGAAAACTTTGCGATATTCCGCCCCTACAACAAGGCAGGCTTTCAAGTCAAGATGATCAAGTGTGATCGGGCTTTCATTGTTCTCACGGATGACATGCTAGACAATATGGGTGTTACTATTGACCCGACTGCAGCTGGAGACCACGAGCCTACCACTGAGCAAAACAATAGGACACTGAAAGAAAGAGTCAGCGTAGCTCTTGTGCGATTACCCTACAAAGTGGTCCCAAAAGTGATCACTGACTTGGACGTCAAGCCGCCAAGCTATTGAATGTCTTTCCCTAGAAAGACAGGATCTCATCACATTTCAGTCCGCAGCAACTCATTGATAATGTCAATATCAACTACAAGAGTGACATGGTTGCTGAACTTGGACAATATCTTCATGCAATTGGGACGGATTCCAACAATTCGATGGAACCACGAAGTATCGAAGCGATTTACATTGAACCTACAAAGGGGCAACGTACTGGGCACCGAGTGCTCAACCTCAATGCTAAGAAGATGATTTCCCGACCCAAGGTCGTTGTACTACCCGTTACCAATCAAGTAATCCAGCGTGTTGAAGCTTGGGCTGCTGCCGAAGGTGTTACTTCCATGAAGTTCTTTGATAAGAAGAGAGACTTGGAGACATTTCAAGATGGCGATCAAATTGCAGGAGTGGATGACACAGAACAAGGTTACTTAGAAGAAGCTTTTGATCAGGACTATGAACCTGAAGATGAAGATGAACGTGATTTCAACCCACATGGACAATTCGATGATATCGATGACTCCGAAAGAGAAGAGCTCTTGGCAGATACAGACAATGATGTCGATGATATGCCAGAACTCACTGTCAGATTCCAAGGAGATGATGACTATGAATCATTCGACGATTTGGGTGATGAAGGCTATGAAGAGGAAAAACCTATTGTGGCCGATTTGGATCACCATCAAGAAAATGTTGATAGAGGAACCAATGATATTGGGAGCCTCCTTACTGATCTGGAGGACCTACAAGAACCGACAGAAGAAGAGATTGTATTTGAGCCTGAAATGCCCCAAGTAGCAAAAGTCACTCGATCTGGGCAAACGTATGCGCAAGCTGCAATGTCTGGGCTGAACCTTTCTCAAGTTCCAAAGAGACCAAGAGAATGGCCTTTGAGCAGGAGTGGCAGTTCTACCAATAAGAATAAGAATCGAGTTGTGACAAGACTTAAGCATTGAGAGAGGGAATTGAACCCATTGAAGAACAAATTAAAATCTGGTATTCGTATCAAAGAAAGAGTCGCAGTACTAAAGACAGTAAGACTATCCTTGAAGCACAGCACAATCTATGTTTCCAAAAGATTGGGAATGAGATGAAAGCTGATTATGAAGAGCAAGACGCTATTCTGATCGCTTGTTGCATGATGCAGATCAAGGCCAATTTCAATACTGACGAAGGTCTGAATTTTTCCAACAAGCGCAGTCGCTTAAGATTTGGGTCCAAGGATCATGATAATCGAAGTCAAATTCCTCTAATTCGTTTGTACAGAGCATGTTTCCAAGCGTTTGGTGGATTTGTTCTACATAATTAGCTTGAGGATTTTCTCCTCTTTTCTTCTCACTTTGTTTTTACTTTCCTTTTCCTTTCTTTTTCCTTTTGCCCCTTCTTTTCTCCCTAGGGGATCTAGTATAAACTGCTCTACCAGCATGAAAAAAAAATAGAGCAAGGAGTTTGCTTTGTTGTGGTGGGGTCTCTAGTGTTAGCTAATGAGAGTTAGTCCATTCACTAAAGATGGGTCTATTTTTAGTGGTATGAGCCAATCACAGCTCTCTATCACTAATGATAGATTTGACTAACTCTCTTCCACACTAAATTAGTACTCTTCACAGACTTCAAATGATGTTAGGGGGATGTTACTAGGTCCAAGCTCCATCCGGCCATAGCAGTTTCTCTTTTTCTTATCACACAAATAAGCACCTTGTCTTAAGGACCAAGTCTTGATCTATTCTTCCATATGTAAGGACAGTAGATATTGTTATTGGCTTAGAGGTGCTTGGACATCATTTCAATACTGCAGGTGGTTGAGACGCAAAGAATATCACATCAAACATTCATGGATTGCTACCTTGTTCCAGATCTGTCTAAATCCTTGCTAATGCTAGGATAAAAGCATATGTCATCTTGTGACGCCATGCATGAAACCAGCAGTGTGTTGTAGAGCCCCTCAATTGCAGTCCTATTGCTTCTCCTCTTTTCTTCTCACTTTGTTTTTTCTTTCCTTTTCCTTTCTTCTTCCTCTCTCCCCTTCTTTTCTCCCTTGGGGATCTAGTATAAACCACTCCACCAGGATAAAAGCATATTTCATCTTGCGATGCCATGCATGAAACCAGCAGGCTTTTAAACCATGCTGGTGGAGCAGTTTATACTAGTTCCCCCGGGGAAAAAGAAGGAGAAGAGGAAGAGAAAAAGGAAAAGAAAGAAAAAACGAAAAGAGAAGAAACGAAGAGAAAGGTATAGGAACGCAATGGAGGGGCTCTACAACACAACACTGGCCTCGTGCATAGCATCAGAAGACGATATACTCTATGATCCTGGCGATAGCCAGGATTTAGAACGATCTGAAACAAGGTAACAATCAATGAGTGTTGATGTGATGATCGCTGCGCATGAATTCATTGAAATGATGCTCAAGCACCTCTAATAACAGCGTAGTCTACACTGTGTCAGAGATTCGATAAACATTGAGACTTATCGTACTGTGAATTTGGATATCTCGAATACTTCAAGTTGCGGATCATGCCGTCATACATGAGAGACGAAGTTTGATTTTGAGTCGACAACAAACCATTTGAAAGTAATGTGAACCAGGGCATGAACAAAAACGCAACGCCGCCAACTGGCATCAGCGTCATGTTTTCGATGAAAACTTAACTTATGCGAGGCTCGCGACAAAGAGACAGCATTGGATTCGATCCGCAGATTATCCCATACTTATATGATGTGCTAAATCAGTATTTTGAGGACCAGCAAGAAAGATGAAAAAGGGCCAACGAAGAAAGATCGATGTCATCCAGAAGAGACTACAGAAGTATAGAACGATTGAGGAAATCCAACAATAAACAGGTCTTGAGTAAAAGTTCAAGGAGAAAGCACAGACAATACCCTTTTTGGGCTCCTACTACTTGATGGCCAAGTGTTAAGGACGCGCCATACAGTCTACTACCGCATGATGATAGAGGATATTTTCAGATACTATTGTGGCATATTTGGTTCTGACAAGAAAACAATGAACAAGGAGACTTGGTGCACCACCTTATTAAGACAATGGCTTGATTGTGAAGGTGAAGAAACCGCCTAGTAGATATAGCATTTGAATTCAGGAGCCTCCTACTGCCATGAGGGAATACTAAACGATACTAGTCAATATATGCTCTATTAATAACTAGAAGGTTGAAAACATTTTCTGACGTTGGAAGTTTTTTCCATCACCGCTTGTAGTGGTAGTGACTAATTTCCGGTTGCCTTCCCCGGACCATCACCATTTTAGGTAGTTTAGGAGTCATCCTAGGGGAGCTATAGCACATTATCATTATCCAATGCGAAGGTTGGTCGTTAAGATAGAGTGCAACAGTGCTTATTAAGACAGAGGCATACTGCTAGGGCCGTGTGATACTGTCCCCCTAATCACCGTTTCAATGGGTTGGGACAGTACTAATTTAGTGGAGATAGTCTATTTTTAGTGAATGGCCCGCTGTGATTGGCTCAGACCACAAAAAAATTGGTTGATTTTTAGTGATTTGACTGGCTCTCATTGGCTGAAAACCCACTAAAAATCCCACCAGCATATTGTAAGAACCAACCAGCACTGTGTTGTAGACCCCCTCAATTGCAGTCCTATTGCTTCTTCTCTTTTCTTCTCACTTTATTTTTACTTTCCTTTTCCTTTCTTCTTCCTTTCTCCCCTTCTTTTCTCCCTACGGGATCTAGTATAAACCGCTCCACCAGGATAAAAGCATATGTCATCTTGCGACGCCATGCATGAAACCAGCACTGTGTTGTAGAGCACCTCAATTGCAGTCCTATTGCTTCTTCTCTTTTCTTCTCACTTTGTTTTTACTTTCCTTTTCCTTTCTTCTTCCTTTCTCCCCTTTTTTTCTTCCTAGGGGATCTAGTATAAAACGCTCCACCTGCATGAAATAAAAACCGCACAAGGAGTTGGCTTTGTGGTGGTGGGGTCTCTAGTGTTAGCCAATGAGAGTTAGCCCATTCACTAAAGATGGGTCTATTTTTAGTGGTATGAGCCAATCACAGCTCTCTATCACTAATGATAGATTTGACTAACTCTCTTCCACACTAAACTAGTACTCTTCACAGACTTCAAATGATGTTAGGGGGATGTTACTAGGTCCAAGCTCCATCCCGCCATAGCAGTTTCTCTTTTTCTTATCAAACAAATAAGCACATTGTCTTAAGGACCAAGTCTTGATCTATTCTTCCATATGTAGGGACAGTAGCTATTGTTATGAGCTTAGAGGTGCTTTGACATCATTTCAATACTGCAGGTGGTTCAGACGCATAGACTATCACTGTTGGGATATGACGAAATATGAGTTTTTATGTTCCAAAAAGAAACTATTCAAGTACCAAATTTTTGACACGTACGATCGGACTTTGATCGTGATGTCGGGATTCGACGCAAGTATGCCGGACGCAAGTCTGTCGGACAAACTACATCCACACAAAAAGGGAATGACCCTATACAAGTGAGATATCAATGTTGTGTACAATGCAGTAGGGAATAATACAATATGTCCCAAAGTA